TATATATATATATCAACTAGTGGAAAAAAAATCCATTTTAAATTTCATATTACGTGATTCCCTTTAATCAATTTTTCCCTTCAATCTAACCTTCTATTTTTATTTTTAAATAGTTTCATTAAGTTTAAATAAATTATCAATAGTTTAAAATAATCCTATGTCACAATTTAAATTATTTATTGATTAAAATATAATTTGTATATCTAGTGATATTTATTCATTATTGTAAATTTTAAACAGAATATAATTCATTTATTAAATATATATTTTTATCATAAATTTAAAACATGTAAAAAAAAACAATTTGTTTAGTGCTGTTTTAAATCATAAAAAGACAACCCTTGAAGTTAATTTTGACGTTTGATAAATTTCTCTTTTAATATCTTCACGAGGTACAAGTGTAGGCAACTTTTTTTAGTAACTCTAATACCACACATGACAGATTTATATGGTAATATGGATTATTGAAATCAACCAAACTTGTATATCATAGTTTAGAACATAATCCATTCATTGGCAAAGGATTGGGAGACAGAGGATCCCAATTCCCAACTCATCTTTTTTGGAAGTTGAGGAATTTTATGCCATAAGCAAAAACAAACATGAAAAGGAGAACCCAACCCAAGTGAACAACAATAACCACTGGGAGGAAGCTATACTCATAACCAAAGTTTTTCTTAATAAGTTCTTTCAGTTCTATATTTTCAGCTCCTGGGATTTCCACTTGTGCATTTTCATTACCAAGTTGAGAGGCAACAAGGCCATAGAGTGTCCAAGAATTAGGAGTAGCCCAATAGTACCATCTCCACCATATAGGAATTTCCTGCAACATTTAACGCAAGTGCCGAATGAAAAAGAACCTCTTTTCCAACATCAAATTATGAATGAATCAATATATGAAAGTGGGAGATAAACGTACCGTCCTAGGAATCATAAAGCCAGAAAAGACGTTCCAGACGCTCAAGAATAAGGAATTGCAAACGGAAGCTATTTGGTAACTCGGGGTTAGGGAAACAATCATCATTCCATATAATGTGTAGTAGATTAAACACATGACCATGAAGTACAAGAACGAAAAAAATTTCGCTGCCTTCCATTCTAACCCCATCATGGAGTACATAATGAGACAATAGATGACCGATTGAATGGCGTTATAAATTGCCTCTATTAACACCTAGACAATCAATGAAGTACACTAGTATAAGAAATCTATCGAGCAATTTTCTCCAATAAAGATACATGAAATAAACAATAATTGAATTTGTAATTAGTTTCTTGTTAAAAATCACTATAATTATACCTGACTAATTGCATAGGACAATGTTGAATACATCCCCGCCGCTTTTTCACGATACAATACAGTTCTTTCTATGTCAACTATGGGTTGCACTCCCATAGTGTTCATGGTTCCAAGGAACATCACAGCAGAGTACATGGATCCTAAAAAATCTAATAAATCTTGTTGCTTTTTGCTGACAATCAAATTAGTTTAGCAAACATAATCAGTCAATATTAACTCGAAATTCGCAAGGTCAATATCATAGCAAATACACTTGTAACACTTAAGAGCAAAGCCTTATTTTATTTTCAATATTATAGACAAATAAATTGACTACATAAATTATTAATTAACTTACATATTTTTGGCTTTTTTCCAGAAGATTAGACCAAAGAGTATCCCAAGGACTATTGTGAAGAAGTATCGAACGGCATTGTACGGAGGATTTCTCCAATAGGACCAATATTGTTTCCAAAAACAAGCTTTCAACTGAACAAAGAATGATTGGGAATATTTGGATGGGAAGCTCAAGTCATTGGAACCTACTGGTGGAGTACTGAGCTCTTTGATAAGCTCTTGATTCCTTCTGCAGAAAGTACCAAGAAAACAAAGTTATCATTCGCAAAGCTAGAATTCTTGTACTTTACCATATAACCCTGCATAGTAGTAAATAATCAGAAAGGAATAAACTTACTGGTAGAGAGTAGAGTTAGCATAAATCTCCACAAAATCTATGCCAAGTTGAGCCTCAATTGAAGCAGTGGTAACCTCAAGCATCCATGTGGCAGGATTATAGCCATCCTTGATTTTTGGAACACCTTCAATACACTGAAGCAAATATGCATATTATATATAGATAAAAAAAAAAGTTTGCCATTGAAATTTTAAGTTTCCCATTCAAAACATAAAGCAAGGAATCAAGAACTCTTGAAATGATAGACAGATAAAAACTTCAATACTTACTTCGAAATATTCTATGAGCTTATGTGAATGATGACCAAGAGGTCCAGCATAAATAACTTGTCCTCCTCTTTTCATCAAAAATAACTACAACAATGAAGAAATCAAATTGAACATCTTATGCAATACAGAGAAACAATCAACTAAAGAAATAACACATTTTGCATAGAACTCTAATCATTTCATGTTCCAAATGAACCTCATCAAAAGCTTCAAAAATGTCTATGCTTGGTTGGTGAATTGTGCACACAACGGTTCTCCCAGTGTCCACTGTGTTTCTCACAGTTCGCATGACAATAGCAGCAGCTCTAGCATCAAGGCCAGATGTTGGTTCATCCATGAAGATAATTGAAGGGTTGGCAACCAATTCTACAGCAATAGTAAGCCTTTTCCTTTGTTCTGTTGATAAGCCATCCACTCCTGGAAGACCCACTAGTGCATTTCTGATTGTGTTAAGCTCAACCAATTCCATAACTTGTTCAACAAACATCTAAATCACCCAACAAAAATAGGACAAAATCAACATTAAAAAATAAAAATAATTAAAATTTAATTTATTCGTTATGGCCAAGAAAATATAACAAAGTTTGTCCCCCCACACCTTTCGCGTTTGTTCATTTACATCTGAAGGAAGGCGAAGCCATGCTGAAAATAATAGTGATTCATATACAGTAATATTTGGAGAATGAATGTCATTCTGTTCACAATAACCACTAACACGAGCAAATGTTGCTTGGTTCTTTGGGTAACCCGAGATGTTAATACTTCCTTCAATGTATCCACCTGTTTTTCTTCCAGCCAACACATCCATAAGGGTTGTTTTCCCAGCACCACTAACACCCATAAGTGCTGTCAATACGCCTGGCCTAAATGCACCACTGGCATCATGTAGTAGTTGAAGTCTATCATCGTTTATTCCTTGACTTTTCATTTCCTGATACCATAAAACAAAACCAAAAGCTTTTTACTATAAACAATTCCCAATAATGTTCACAAGAGGCCTGAAGTTCAAAGTTTCTAAGAAAAACTTAAAACCATTTTGATCAACATATAAAACCATTAATTTCAATTAGAAAATTTACATAATTCCAAGTAAAAAACTAGAAGAGAAATAATAACACACTAACATACTCTATTATTGATTAAAAGTTATTGTTTTTTTTAAAAGTCTGACTTCTTATTTATGAATCTTTTTTTTGTTTTATAAGTTTTAATAAATTCTAACTAATTAAAAATAATGTGGTAAGTAATGCATTGCTTTTCCTTAAAACAAAAAATACTGTGTTACTATATGCATTCAAGAAAGGGAAGTTCCCAATGAAGTCAAAGTTGTTGGTCAGAGCATGACCGCTCCATGTTATTATGTGTTGAAAATATTGTAATACGTACACACCACATTTTTAGTCTACTTATTTTAGGAAGTATGAGAGAAAAACTGATCTCAATGAAAGTGATATTACAATATCATCGGAAGGCATGTGATTGTAATGTTTGAATTCATCAACTTACGCTAGGCATGTCTACATAGTACTCCACATGATTGAATGCAAGTGAAAGAGGTTGAAATGGCAGGACCATTCCTGTTCTTCCTTGACGAGAAACATTTCTCATTTCCTTATCTATACCTGTTCGCCAATAAGGTAAAAAATTTAATGATACAGTCAGTCAATAATTTGAATTGCACAAGAATAATTCGCGATTATTTTTATCTAAAAAATGATGCAATTGCAATGTCATTAAAACATGATATGCAGTTCAAAATCTCAAATTCATAAAGTAGAAATAGCGCAACTAAAAACTTGAATAACACTGAAATACACTTAAATGACCAAGAATTACCTTCAGTGGCATGTTGTCTGGAGATTGAATTTCCACTCTTCTCGTCATCTTCATCTGTAATGAATGCTTTTGAATTGCCAATAGCTGAAATTTTGGTTTGATTAAAAAGGTTTAGTATCGTTGGAAATTCCATTGATTTTCATACTATTAAAATCAAATTGATATATCTTACCATTCATAAAAGTTAATGCAACAACGCTGAGAATGTTGAAAAGAAGAACAAACCCAAACAAGGCTCCAATGCATATCCAAAACCAATATTCATCACGGTAAAAGCCTCTAGCCTTGAGAAGTACTTTCCCAACTGTTGGTTCATCTATTCTAGGGTCCGTATTTGGCTACAAAATATACAAACATATTTGACCATGTTTAGACCTTTTTGAAGTAATCTAGCCTCATTGTAAAGTTTTTCATGCTTAACATAGGCAGTGAAAAATAAAAGGATTGAGAAAAATGTTTCTTACTTTACTCCATCTTTCATCTAAAAATTCATTTATTACAATAGCAGTCTGACCATACATCATAGGAGAAGCATAATATCCCCATGAAATCCATGGTTTGATATTATCTGCAAGTATAAAAGAAAAGTTGCCGAAATAAAGATGAGTAAGAAACATAGCAAATTCAATTTAAATGTTAAAATTTAAAATTTCCATAGACTAAAAGATTAAGAAATGAATGATGATGTCTTACCCTTGGCAACAATAAATCCTCCAAGCAAAAATACTAGTTGATAAGTCAAGCCACTCAGTATATTGGCAACAACATTTGATCTACCAACTACACCAACGAGCCGAAATAGAGAGACAGACATCTGATGAATGCCAAACAATGCCAAGAATTGTTTGAAAAATCTGATGAAATAGAAGGATCGGAGTGAATTTCATAGTTTTCATTGTATATTAATAATAACTATTATTACCACAAAGCCAAAGTAAAATAATAAAACAATCGAAAAGAGTAAATAGTTTATATATTGATTTTACCTGTCAGTCAAATTGGCATTCTCATGTATGATAACTTTATTGATTTTTATAAATTATTTTAAAAGTTACATTTATTATGATTTCTAATTCCTTGGCGGTATAAAATCTTTTACATTGCATAGAAATTAACATCAGTTAGAGTGGGAAAAGTAAGACTATATTTAGAAAAGGCAAACCAAGAATACCTGCTAGCTGAAGGAGCAAAACCAATTGTGTAGTATGTGAGCACAGTCCATATTCCTGTTTCTAGAAAGGAAATAGGGATCCCGAGAATCCATATGGGTAACCCGAATGCCCATCCAGGGTAGAACATGAAATCCCTTTGTTTGTAAAACACAGGAAGCCTGGAAACAATCATGGCTTGTTCTGAGAAGCCATTGAACATCATGTTCACTAGAGAAAAAAATAGTGCTCCAAAGAACTTATTTCCATCTTCAACAGATCCCACTGGCATTTTAGTTCTAAGGAACACAGTAAAGCCTAAAATAGATAAGATTATTAACTGTGATATCCTATAGACGTAGAGAAACATGTTGCGTTTCATAAGCAACCATTCTCTTGAGAAACATGCCTTCAGTAGTTCCATATTTGATATACCATATTTGTCTTTAACTAAGGCAGCACGATGGGTTTGTCTCTTATCATAAGGAACCTTAAACTCTGTTGCAAGTTGTTCTCCAATGTGAAACGATTGGAAGGACTCCGCAAACTCAGGAACTGAAACATATCTATAAGGTTCATCATTTCTAAACCAATACTGTGGTTGATCTTTCTTAGATGTTACTTCTTGTAAAAAGTCAGCAACTCCCTTTCTTGGTGGACATTTGAAACCCATGTTTTCAAAGAACTCTAGCACATGTTCACGGGGACCTTGGTAAACAATATGACCGTCTGAAAGTAGGATAATGTCATCAAATAGTTCAAATGTCTCTGGTGCTGGCTGTAGAAGAGAAATCACCATGGTTCCATCCATTATATGAACCATTTGCTTCATGAACTCGCATATTTGAAAAGTGGTTGAACTATCCAACCCTGTTGATATTTCGTCCATAAAAAGTGCCTTTGCTGGTCCTACTAGCATTTCCCCTATACCCAATTACAATTGAAATAGTAAGTATATATTCAATGTACAACTTGTTAGTTGCAAAGTTCTAAGTCATTAATCATAAAAGAAAAACATTAGAAGAAAGAACTATATTTTTTACACTAATTGAACTAAATTATTTTCAATTTCATAATTTATTTATATATTTATTCTAAGGATGTAATAATAAATTATTTTACTTTTCCTCCTTGCTTTAATTTGTAAAAAATAAGTATCTAATTGACCTGTTGTGACACGCTTTTTTTGTCCACCAGAGATACCCCTTCTCATGTTATCACCAACCATAATATCAGCACAAATATCCAATCCAAGTATCTGTTGAAATACAAGAGAAATTAATGTAAATAAAAAATGTTTAAGCATATATAATATAACTCTAATTTCTTAAAATATGACCTTTGTTTGTTTCAATTTCCTTGAATTTTATTTTTATCTCTAAAAATAATTAAAAAAATTATGTGCTTATAGTCTTTCATACAAACTTTAATCAAATAGAATCTTAAAAAAAATTACATTTTTTTATATAAGAACTAAAATAGAAATCATTATATTTTAAAGAAAATATATTTAAGTCTGAAAATGAATAGATAGAAACCAGAGGTAATACTAGTTAACATGAAGTTGAGTCAACAATGTTACAAACCTTGAGAACATAATCTGTTTGCAAATTGTGTTTTTGACCCGATATGGCTGTAGCCTTCATAAATGCATCAATCTCAGGATCCGGCTTGATTCCTTCTTGTTTCTCCCGACGTAAAAGTTCTTCCACCATATGATACCTTGTGCCAACTCCTAGACAACGCCCTGAAAAATCTAAGGTCTCTCTCACTGTCATCTCTCCGTAGTGAAGGTCATGTTGACCAATATAGGCACAAGTTTTTTTAGCAACAAATTCATTTAGTTCATGGCCACAATAAGTGATTTTCCCAGAGACCTGATCATCGTAGCATACATTTGTCGTGGATAAAAAAAAATTACACGTGAGTTGATAAGAACTGATTAAGAAGAAATTATTAATTGAATGGAACCAAACAAACAAAATAAAATGAGTGAACCTTTAATTCCGGGTCAAGCTTCCCTGCAAGTGCTAGTAGTAATGTTGTTTTCCCTGCACCTGGCGGGCCTAGTAGTAGGGTCATCCTGATTTTACCATGTTTAATAAAATAGGAATAAGAATGTTATTAGTATTAGGCATCTCTTATCATAGGTCCATCATACTATTATTGATATATTTTTTATTTACTTGTAATAATAATAAATAAATATAGATAATATTTATTTTAGGTAAGTTCTAGAATGGAGATTGTTATAAATATATTGAGTGTGTGTTTCTCTTATAAATATATTATATCTCTTTATCAAGAATATCAATATAAAAAAATTACTTTTTTTTATATATAATTTTGTTAATGATAGAATATTAGGGATGATAATAGAAAAGTTAACTTTACTCTATCAAATGATGCTTTCAAAATCATACACTTTAAATGTCATTAAATAAATAATAAAATATAAATATAAAAAATCTTATTTTGTATATATAAAAATGTAATTTTTTTCTATAACTTATTGTCGTAAATAGATAAAAAAATTAAACTTATTATTTTTTATTCTTAAAGATTATCAATGAGTTACCTTGAAGGTTTGACGATTCCACTAACATCTTTAAGAATAGTAATCTTTTTTTTCTTGGAAGGTGCGAGGCGGAACAATTCAAGAATCCTCTTTTAACCACAACAAATGAATAAAATACAATTATTTAAAGTTAAATAAAATTAATAATATATCAAATTTAACAAAATCATAGATTCATTAGTAACATCATATGGTTAAAATTAGTCTAAAAGAATTGTACAAAGAACCTCAAAAGTGTTGAGGGTGGCATTAAGCAGGGTAGGAAGTGCTCTAGTTCCAAAATGTACATTTCCCTCCACAGATACTTTCTCGTATCTGACTTCTATTTTTGGAATTTCAATTCCCACCCTGTATTACAAATGTTAATAAAGTGAGAAAAGAAAAAAAAAAGTCCTACTAATATATAACATTGACCACTTTCTTATAATAATTTATAACAACTATGATGATAATATATTCTTAGTTCTTATTTCTATATTTTCTTGAACTATTTGACTTTTCAATTAATATTACAAATTATACCAATATTATATTTGTATTGAATATAAAAAAAAGTCATTTCATTAATGAGATATAAAAAAATATTCCACTAATTACAAATAAAATTAAACTTTAAAGAATAAAAAATGTTAACAAATTATTGATAGAACATATTTTTATACTAATAATAATAATACTTTATATAATTCAATTAGTCCAATAAATTGCATTGATTATTGTAAAGTATATACCTTTTAATTCTATCAGTGAGTCTAAGAAGAAATTTCTCATTGTCATCATCAACAAATTTGAGTACACTCTCGAGCAGCTGCTTCTTGTCTTGCATGCCTAGATGAGTTACATCAACAGGACAATTCACAACCCTTCCATTATCAAGCACAATACTCATCATGCCTTTTCTCATGCGATCCAAAGTAGGCAAACGCTCTATAGCAGCCCATTTGAGAGCCTCCTCTTGTTCGTGTTGGCTGCGTGCACTGCCCCTTATATTGAACACATCCGAAGAAGCTGTCCAATCTGTCCTAAGACTTCTGGAGGACCAGCTCTGGCTCTTTCCTTTCCCCATCATCAAATCATCTCTTGTCAGCGATGTTGATGCCATCTTAGTCTCCAACACTACGATAGTGTATATATGTATTATATATGGCACTGGCTCCTAGGTATCGATCTCGAATATCACGTTCACATTCACATATGAAACACCGTTTAGAGTTTCAAAGGAGAGGGTGATGAATGTGTGTCTCAAATGTCGCGTACATAAATTAATTAAGTACTCTGATCAAAAGGAGAGGTGATGACAAATGGTGTGTAGTGTCGGTCTATATGTATGCATGGATCAGAGAGTTGTAGTTATGAACAATGTTGACCGTTCATTCAATTGATTCACACTTTCATAGTGATTACTGATTATATACCTTGGTCAAAGAACAGAGTGAGTAAATATTAAATTTTTTACACCTTTTCTAGAATTTTATAACTAATATATTAAATGAAAAATATTGAAAATATCAAATACAATTAATACATATGATAAAAAATATAATACAAATTAAAAGAAAAAAATACTTAATATTGTAAAAAAAAAATGAGATGTGAAAAATTGATAAATGATACTATTGTCAACCTTTTTTAACACGTAATCATAAGCTGTGATCGTCTGATAAATGGTAACAAGCATCTGTTTTCCTTAATTACTTGTTAGAAATTATTATAACATTCGTGCCTTATATTTCATGTATGTGGATATGCCGGGTTTAAATAAAGAGTTGATTTTATGTCTTCATTAATGAAACTTTCTTGTACGTTAATTGCCTATTGAGACTAAGAGAATAAGAAAATAATAGTACTTTATTAAAATAAATTATTTTTAATATTATAAATTTTAATTAAAATAAAAATGAAACGTAAGACATATGTAGTAAAAAATAATGTTGCTATTTATATGAAAATCGACATAATTAAGTAATTAATAAGTAATATTATTCAAGGATACATAAATATTTTTTATTTAATTTTAGATGACATTTTAATGAGTGAATCAATATTATTTGATTTTGAAAATTAAAAGAACATGATTATTGAAAATTTTAAATTATTTTTGTGTGTGTCCACGTGTAAGTGTGGAAAGAGGTCTTGGAAATTCTCAGATACTAGTTAAAACAATTATTATCCCATAATTGAAAAAAAAAAACAAAGAGTAAAATAATATAAATTTATAAATGTGGAAAAGTTTGAAGCATTAGTTTTACATTCATATAATAATAATACTTTTAAAGTTGTAAATTAAATTATTTTTAAAAAAAACTTATTATTAATAATTATATTTAACAAATATAAATATTATATATATATATATATATTTCACATTTTATATACTAGAGGAAATGAGGTACTACTTCCTTGGTAATTAAAAAATAAATAAAAAATAAGTAAAGAGTAAATAAGAAAGAGTGGAGAAAAAAGTAAGTAGTTACTTTTGTTTTAAAAAAATAGTAAAAGAAAAAGTGAAGAAAAAAAGGTCACTTTTATTTTCTTAAAAAGAATGTGGAATAGTTATTTTTCTTTTAAATTTCACTCTTTAATAACTAAAATATATATTATTTTTATAGTATAAAAATTCAAAATAAATAGATATATGAAAATGAGTTATTGTATTTATAATACTACATGTTATATATATATA